GGTTATTTTTTTTTTTTAAAAAAAATTTTTAAAATTTAAACAAAAAAAAATCTGTCTAGTCATAAATCCCTCCCAATTCCTCTCATCATATTGTTTATTTTCATTTTTTTTTTTTTTTTTTATTTTTAATTTTTTTTTTTTTATTTTGTTTCGATCAAAAATAAAAAAAAAAAAAAAAAAAAATGGGGGAAGTAAAAAATAAGAAGAAGAAGAAAGAGAAAAAAAATTCAATTAATTGAATTTGTTCTTTTTATTGTTAATGAAAAATGAATTTTTATTATTATTATTATTATTGTTTTAAAAAAAAAAATTAATCGAATTTTCTCCTTCTGATGATGATTATGATGATGATGATGATGATGCTGTTTATGTTTGTTTCAATTTTACTTAAATTATTTTTAATGTAAAAAAAAAAAAAAAATTTCATTTTAATTTAAATTGTTTAAAGTTATTACTATTATTATTATTATATTTCTCTATTGTTTGATTTGAATTTAAAATTATTAATTGTACCGAATTATTTATTTTTATGAAAAAAATATATTTATGTATAAATTTTAAGTTTAAAACATGTATGAAACATTTTGTTTTAAATAATGATAATATTAATGATGATAAAACAATAATAAAGTTTGAAACGATTGATAATGTTATAAAAATGAAAATATATTTGTGACAACAAGTATCAAAACAACAACAACAACAACAACAACAACAACAACATGGCTAACCGAATAATGAAACTCCTTTTTTTATAAATCTAAATAAAAAAAAAAAATTATTAATAATGAAGGAGTCCATATTTTTTAAAATAAATTCAACATTGATTACAAAAGTTCAGTAAATTTTATTTTTTTTTTTTGTTCGAGTCAATATGAAAAATAAAAAAAATAAAATTCTGGTACGATTAAATAATGAAAAAATAATGATTTATTTACATAAATAAAATTATTAATAATAATGATAACAGTAATTACAGTATTTTAATCGATTAGAGAGAATTATTTAATGTTTTTATATATCACAAGTCGAAAACTTTTTTTTTGTCATCCATGTTTTTTATTTTTTATTATCACAAACCTTTCAATAATATTATATATATATATATATTTTTGTTCAGACTATATATTATTATAATAAATATTAATTTATTTTTTTAAAAAATGATAAAATTGAAACAAACAAATTGAATCAGCAATTAATCAATTAATTTTTTAAAGTTAATATGTAAAAATAAATAAATAAATAATTATCAAATTATTTATTTATTTATTTATTGTCG